GCACAGTCACTGACAAAATATATATATCGAAGTCAGTTGCAGCCAAGGCTTAATTAGAGCAAAGGATGTTTCAACTTTCACAAAATGAATCTGCTGGGCAGTAAGTAGATCTTTCTGGAAAAATATCCATCATGCAAGAATGGCCATTTCATTTTAGCCATAGTACATTCTTATTTGTAATATATTAATACAAATTCCTAATTTTTTCTTTGGTCTGACCTTTTTCGCACGAGCACGCGTATCAAATCCGTTAAAATAAGTAAAATATTATATTCATTCAATCCTAATGTAAATGATGTACAGAAGATAGTAAACACATTTAAGCTTCAAAGTTATTTTTGAGTCGCGCTTTTCAACTTCTTTAAAGACAACTTAAATGCAAATGAAATTTTAAAAAATAAAAACTTTATAAATACGCAGACGGCAGGCCTAAAACGACCAACCCTATAGCAATGATGACACTGTCCGTTTGGTGGCAGAATATTTGTAGTTTACTGACTGGAATCCTGTTTTTCTAGTCACCATCATGACACCATGCTCACTGCTACAAACAATCAGATTAACTGCGTTGAGACAATGGCACTTCTATATGTGACGCAAGACCTTTAAAAAATGAAATCCTAACATATACCATGAAGCGCCTACACTTGAAAGTCGAGGACTGATAACTGATATGTATTAAACCTGAACAGCAGCTCACGGAAAGTACGGGTTTTACTATCAAACACAATTTCACAAACAATTGTGAGTAATATTCTCAGAGACCAATCTAGCAGTCATGTGCATTGATTTATAACAATTCAAGTAGCATTGATTATGTTAGCCTTTAACGGTAAAAGTACATTAAAACTTTACTTTTGTGTCCTTCAAACTATCACAGTTAGTTTTGAGCTTATATTTCTACGGCGCTGACGTTAAAAGCATGAAAACAGTTTCAAATTTGTCGTTTAATTAAAGCGCACTCGTTGAACAATTCTAAGAACTTAATCTAAGGTTAAATTTAGTAAGAAGCATCAGGAAAATTTGGTTTTTCTGAATTAGTTTGTAAGATCAATAACACTACGAAAGCCATGGAAGTATGGAAATACTAAGGTGACTTAGTTACACTACATAAATTTGTAGGCCTAAAGCCAATAGCAGAGGATGGAAACGCTAAGTAACTGTATTATCTTAGATTAGTTTGTAACCTCAGTACCTCTAATTAGGCCATGGAAACTACAAGGCAATTTTTAACGCCTTCGTAGTTTATAAGCTTAGTAGTGTTAACAATGCCTTGAAAAGACAAATGTGACTTGTAAGCTTAATACGACTAAAAAGGTCATCAAAAATTCAGGACAAATTTATTTCGTTAGATATGTTTGTAAGCTTAACACCGTTCTAGGATGGTTATCCAAATACGAAAGCAACTTGATTTAACCACCTAATTCTGTAAGTTTAATATTACTGAGAAGGCCATGGAAATGCCAGGATGACTTTATTCCACTAGCTAATTCTGGAAGTTTAATATTACTGAAAAGGCCATGGAAACACCAGGACGTCTTTATTCCACTAGCTAATTCTGGAAATTTAATATTACTGAGAAAGCCGTAGAAACGCCAGGACGACTCGAGTCCTCCAGGTTATTTTGTAAG